TGTGGAAGCATAAATCTACAGGAGGGTAAAACGTGGTGGCTGTCATGAGCAAAGCACCGCGGGGTTTTATTTTCAAACACAGCGTGGTGTGGATGCATAAATATACACGAGGGCGAAACGTGGTGGCTGTCGTGAGCAAAGCACCGCTGGGTTTAATTTTCAAACACAGCATGGTGTGGATGCATAAATATACACGAGGGCGAAACGTGGTGGCTGTCGTGAGCGAAGCACCGCTGGGTTTTATTTTCAAACACAGCTTGGTGTGGATGCATAAATATACACGAGGGCGAAACGTGGTGGCTGTCGTGAGCGAAGCACCGCTGGGGTGTATTTTCAAACACAGCTTGGTGTGGATGCATAAATATACACGAGGGCGAAACGTGGTGGCTGTCGTGAGCAAAGCACCGCTGGGGTGTACTTTCAAACACAGCTTGGTGTGGATGCATAAATATACACGAGGGCGAAACGTGGTGGCTGTCGTGAGCGAAGCACCGCTGGGGTGTATTTTCAAACACAGCTTGGTGTGGATGCATCAATATACACGAGGGCGAAACGTGGTGGCTGTCGTGAGCAAAGCACCGCTGGGGTGTACTTTCAAACACAGCTTGGGGTGGATGCATAAATATACACGAGGGCGAAACGTGGTGGCTGTCGTGAGCGAAGCACCGCTGGGTTTTATTTTCAAACACAGCATGGTGTGGATGCATATATACACACGAGGGCGAAACGTGGTGGCTGTCATGAGCAAAGCACCGCTTGGTTTTATTTTCAAACACAGCTTGGTGTGGATGCATAAATTTACACGAGGGCGAAACGTGGTGGCTGTCGTGAGCGAAGCACCGCTGGGGTGTACTTTCAAACACAGCATGGTGTGGATGCATAAATATACACGAGGGCGAAACGTGGTGGCTGTCGTGAGCAAAGCACCGCTGGGGTGTACTTTCAAACACAGCATGGTGTGGATGCATATATACACACGAGGGCGAAACGTGGTGGCTGTCATGAGCAAAGCACCGCTTGGTTTTATTTTCAAACACAGCTTGGTGTGGATGCATAAATTTACACGAGGGCGAAACGTGGTGGCTGTCGTGAGCGAAGCACCGCTGGGTTTTATTTTCAAACACAGCTTGATGTGGATGCATAAATATACACGAGGGCGAAACGTGGTGGCTGTCGTGAGCGAAGCACCGCTGGTTTTTATTTTCAAACACAGCTTGGTGTGGATGCATAAATATACACGAGGGCGAAACGTGGTGGCTGTCATGAGCAAAGCACCGCTGGGGTGTATTTTCAAACACAGCTTGGTGTGGATGCATCAGGAATTGTAACTAGGGTCAAACAAGGTAGCTGTCGTGAGCAAAGCACCGCTGGGGTGTACTTTCAAACACAGCATGGTGTGGATGCATAAATACACACGAGGGCGAAACGTGGTGGCTGTCATGAGCAAAGCACCGCTGGGTTTTATTTTCAAACACAGCTTGGTGTGGATGCATAAATATACACGAGGGCGAAACGTGGTGGCTGTCGTGAGCAAAGCACCGCTGGGTTTTATTTTCAATACAGCTTGGTGTGGATGCATAAATATACACGAGGGCGAAACGTGGTGGCTGTCGTGAGCAAAGCACCGCTGGGGTGTACTTTCAAACACAGCTTGGTGTGGATGCATAAATACACACGAGGGCGAAACGTGGTGGCTGTCGTGAGCGAAGCACCGCTGGGTTTTATTTTCAAACACAGCTTGGTGTGGATGCATAAATATACACGAGGGCGAAACAAGGTGGCTGTCGTGAGCAAAGCACCGCTGGGGTGTACTTTCAAACACAGCATGGTGTGGATGCATAAAAATACACGAGGGCGAAAACGTGGTGGCTGTCGTGAGCAAAGCACCGCTGGGGTGTACTTTCGAACACAGCTTGGTGTGGATGCATCAAAATACACGAGGGCGAAACGTGGTGGCTGTCATGAGCAAAGCACCGCTGGGTTTTATTTTCAAACACAGCTTGGTGTGGATGCATCAGGAATTGTAACGAGGGCGAAACGTGGTGGCTGTCGTGAGCAAAGCACCGCTGGGGTGTACTTTCAAACACAGCATGGTGTGGATGCATAAATACACACGAGGGCGAAACGTGATGGCTGTCATGAGCAAAGCACCGCTGGGTTTTATTTTCAAACACAGCTTGGTGTGGATGCATAAATATACACGAGGGCGAAACGTGGTGGCTGTCATGAGCAAAGCACCGCTGGTTTTTATTTTCAATACAGCTTGGTGTGGATGCATAAATACACACGAGGGCGAAACGTGGTGGCTGTCATGAGCAAAGCACCGCTGGGTTTTATTTTCAAACACAGCTTGGTGTGGATGCATAAATTTACACGAGGGCGAAACGTGGTGGCTGTCGTGAGCGAAGCACCGCTGGGGTGTACTTTCAAACACAGCTTGGTGTGGATGCATAAATATACACGAGGGCGAAACGTGGTGGCTGTCGTGAGCAAAGCACCGCTGGGGTGTACTTTCAAACACAGCTTGGTGTGGATGCATCAGGAATTGTAACGAGGGCGAAACAAGGTAGCTGTCGTGAGCAAAGCACCGCTGGGTTTTATTTTCAAACACAGCTTGGTGTGGATGCATAAATATACACGAGGGCGAAACGTGGTGGCTGTCGTGAGCGGAGCACCGCTGGTTTTTATTTTCAAACACAGCTTGGTGTGGATGCATAAATATACACGAGGGCGAAACAAGGTAGCTGTCGTGAGCAAAGCACCGCTGGGGTGTACTTTCAAACACAGCTTGGTGTGGATGCATATAAATACACGAGGGCGAAACAAGGTAGCTGTCGTGAGCAAAGCACCGCTGGGTATATTGTTGAACACTGCTTGGTGAAGTGGCTGTTGGGGAGCAAGTGTCGTAAGATCAATGTCATGAAAACATAACACACCATATGTCATGCATAACACACCATATGTCATGCTAACACGCCCCGAACTTTTTATTTATATTTAGTGTGTTGATGGATTAATCCCAAGAGGCAACAGGACGGAGACTTTCGGAGAACATCGGACTCGGGTGAAGAACATGGAACGGGCGTTGGATCAGCGTCGTATTGACTGTCAGCGACGTAGTTCCAATACGGTGGAGGTACGGTGGACAGTATGTTTGAGGTTCCTTTTTTTGTTTCTGATGAGAGTTCCTCTTTTGAGACGACAGGTTAAGTCTCCCTCGAAAAGGCAGAGTTGAACCGTTATCGCCAAGCAAGACAAGTGATGAGGACACCCGAGTTCCCCTCCTGAACTCTTCTATTTCGTTTGACGTGGTGCTCAGTTCGAACGGCGGTGGGAGAAGTTTGAAGATTGTCTCCAATCAAAGGAAGCCAAGACAGCTGAGGAGATCGAAGAATGGATTCGACAGGAAGATCTTTTTGCCGACATCGATACCACGGACCGAGCCGAAATCATTAGCTTCTCATTCACCATAGCTTCCCAGCCGACGTTTACGACGGTTTGCTTCTTCGCCAAAGAAACAGGAGACTACGGCGCTGTGAAAAAAGCTTGTGGGGCATTTTACCCTTACACAGGAGAGACACCAGATTTTCTGGCGGCCCTGGGTGGCTCTGGGTCGGAGTTCGGCACGTTCTGCAAAAACATGGTGAGTACAAAATCGTTCCTGATTGTTTCGTTATGTACGAAGGGCGTCCATTCAAATACGAATCGGGTGGTGTTGGGTATTCCAGTGCCTCGAACCTTGACTCGGAGACAAACGATGCAACCCCGACCGCTGAACTCGAAGACAAATGACATTCTCAAAGACTTGGTTACAACAAATCATTGCCATTTTTCTTACTTCTTTTTCATTAAATGCCTACCTTCAGAATCATCGTGCCACGAAGCGCAAGACGGGAAACCCAACGAGCTCCGGTGGCGCAACCCAGGCCCCTGTCGCCACTGCTACTGATGGTGCGTGCAAGAGCCCGGTGTCTGTGATTATAGGTCCTTCCCCTTCACGATGGAACTTGTACTACAAACCTTGAGCTACGATGATAACTGTCGTGCGGTCTACGAAGCTGCTTGACTGCAAGCGTGGTTTGAAACATTTGTCCATTCTCCCCCGGTTTTGCCCGCTCTGCTTTGCCATTTGCGTCCTGCAGATGATTCTGTCCTCGAGATCGCTGAGTGTAAAAAAGAGATCGACAGCCTTCGGGAGAAGATAGGGAAAGTACACGGCGCAATCAATGGGGGACCTCCGTACCTTAAAAGCAACGACCCCACTCTTTTGATTCCTTTTCTTCAGAGTTACGAATCTCAGATGGTGGAACTTCAGAAGCAGCGAAGCAAGTTGGTGGCTCGGTCGCCAAAGCGCCAGAAGAGAAGAGTCGGTAAGGAAGCTGCTCAATACCATTTTAAATGTCCAAAGTACAGTTGCTCATTGAGACACCTGTCATTTCTGGCTCCGTCGCTGCCGCTATCCCTGCTGCTGCCACCAATCCCGCTGAAAACATCTTTGCGAACCCGCCCTCGGGAAAAGTAAGATCAATAGGCCGTCCCACATGTCAATGAATAACTCGCTTTTTTCGCGTGCATCAAAGTCTCCAACAAAAAGCCTAGCATCGAAGCATATCCGTCAACCTCTTTGTCTTGTCCTCTCGAAATAAGGTTTGAAAGGGACCACATCCACCGCCGCCACCCTAGGTGCTGTCGTCACTGCTGGTGCCACCCGAGTAGCAGCGCCCGCTCTAACTCCGGAGGCTTCTACCGCTTCGGATGCTGCCGCTACAGCTACAGTGGGGGGCCCTCTATAGTGCCGGTACGTGCGCAGGGCGTTCACCGGCACTATAGCGGGCACCGGCACAACTGGGAATAGTGCCTCAATAGTGCCAAACGGCACTATTCGGGTGATCGATATCCCTCAGTAGTGCCGGTCTGGCACTACTGAGGCACTGCTGTTTGAGTTCATGGTGTATCGCTTACCATTTGCGAGGCCAACAGAGTAGCATGTGGATCGAGTGTGGTGAATATACTTTGTGGGCGGCAGGGGCAGCCTTTTCTGAGACAAATGTGGGTTCCACTCTGATAGCTGAGTTTGCCGCGAAACCATTCCCGCATGCACGCGCAGAATTCACCTTCGGAGCCAAACCCCGTGTACAGCTCCTGTCCGTGCAACTTAGTATACTTGAAAAAATATCACGTTCCTCGCTGCCTCCCTACGATGTTGCGTGATGAGACACGCCAACAAAAACCAATAAACGCGCCAGCAACGAAGCGGACAAAAATAAAACAAAACAAAAAGAAAAAAACTGCGGTATAGCTGTCCCCCCCTCACTCATCAACAAACTCTCTCATGTCTGTCTGGCGCACGCCCTTAGCGGCATGCGCACGCGATCATCGCCATCTTCGCTTTCGATAGGTGGAACGCAGACGTACCCCGTTTCCACTCTCCCGCGCGGCCACCTCCAGGACGCCGAAGTGAGAAGACAGTTCACCGTAAGCCGGTGGGGCGCGGCGGCCGCCCCCCGTGTCCTCATGATCACTGTCCGCCTGCTTGTTTGTTTTGAAAAAAAAGCGGGTGCGAATATGTACACAACAGTGCTCTTTCAATTTCAAGGACAAATAATCGGAAGGTCTATGAGTGTGGACATCGAGGACCTCAAAGGCCAAAGACATAACAAAAAAAGGAGGTGACATGAAAAAAAAAAACACCATATGATACATACGAAAAGACGAAAAGGGAAAGGCAAAGAAACAAGGAAGGGCAAAAAAAAAAAAGGTACAGCAGTAGAAATCGGCGACATGAGGGCATTTTTGAAAAATGGCGGGGAAAAACAACGTTCGAGAGGAAATTGCCAGGCATGTCGTGTACTCTACCTACCTCCGGAAAGTCTCCTCTGCGTGCGGTTTTCTGGCTTCCGTCGCCTGCAGCTGCCTTAGCCTCCACTTCCTTCCGTTCAGCGTTCACCTTGCAGACCAGCCGTTCCGAGCACTTAAAGCGATCTGCTATCTGCTCATGAGAAATCTTGGCATCCAGCAGCTTGAGGACCTCAACCTTGTCAGCGTTGCTCAGCCGCGCGCGAGAAGCCTTCTTCCCCCCCCCTTTCTCTGTCGGACGTTTAGATGGTCCCGCCCCAGCATCAACCCCAGCTGCGGTCGCTTTGCGCTTGCCAGTCTTAGCAGCGACGCAAGAACTGCAGATGCGGGATGTTTCGAAGTCACCCTCCACGCTGCCGCAAGTGCCATGGAGCCGCCCGCCACATCCTCCCTTGCAGACGTGGCCATGAGGGGCCTTCGGCGTTCTGTTCTGTTGAAGGCACAGTTCACCTTCCGCACACGGCATGGTGCGCCTCTGCGTAGAGCTGTGTTGGACTGCAGCAGCACGGTGTCTGTATTTTGGGAGTGTGGTGGTGTGTGTGCGTGCGTGTGTGAACCGGCACTATTGCGGGCTGACGTGGTGCCCAACCGGCACTATACCAGGCCCGCCCTCAATAGTGCCGTTTGGCACTATTGAGGGCGCTTTCTGTGTGGAGAGATTTTACCGGCACTATACCGGCAGTTGGCACTATTCAACCGGCACTATAGAGGGCCCCCCACTGTACTGGAAGCAGTTCTGCTTTGGGCTTTACCGCAGACCCTACCCCCGCCGCTGCTGCTGGCGGGATCTCCCATCAAGGCAAGCAGCAAATGCCCCGAAAATCGTGTTTGTGCACGGGTCGGGTCATAACATGGCGTATTCATCTTGTCAGTGACCCACCAGCGGTTTTGCATGCACTCTTTTTGTTGCCCAGTGCTCGAAAGTTTAGTTTTTTCAAGGAACCTTACCCCCCTTCTCCCTTTCGCCATCTGTCTCTCTCTTTTTCTCTCCGCCTTTGGTACAAAACTCAGGTTTGGGAACGATCCGAGGCGCCCCTGGTGCCACTACGGCCCCTGCCGCCGCCGAAGGTACGTTGGTTAGTCTTTTGTCCGTGATGTTGTGGATATTTTCCTCGTTTATAAGTGCAGTCATTCAATCCCGTTTTGAACCCATTTTCTTCTCTGCGATCGCCCTCGACTTCGCCCGTGGTCCTGCCGCGCTGTCAACCCCCGGAGTTAGAGTAACGGAGATGGACCTCGCGTGTCGATATAGCTCTCTTGTTGCACGCGTGTTTTTCGAACCCCCTTTTACGCCCTCGCTCGCTCCTCGAGGTCTGCTTGCCAGCCCTGTCCCTGATCACATTTCCTAACTCCAGGCAACGATGCACGAATTGAAACACCACGGTTAGGTAGTTGCAGGTACTACCTGATGTCAGGTAGACGTGAAATTCCATCTACACTAAAAAAACCATTTCTTAAACGTGAGGCACAAAAAAAGCACTTCGGGTAATCGTGCATGTCGTCGGTTTGGTCAAGCGCGGGGATGGCCATATCCAATTTGTCGTGGGGTTGACTTCGGGGAACAGTCATTCTGCAAGATGAATGCGTGTTTCTCGTGTAAGATTTGGCCAACCGGGTCCGACAGGGTCCGGTGGTAATACGCCGTCTTGGAGTGTGAAAAAATCGTTCTGCTCCTGGCTTGGGCCCTGCCTGTTTTACTGCGGCCGCCCCGGCCCCAACGCCCACCTCCAAACAAGGTTAGCAGTACAGGCGCCGGTGTGGATATCGTGTACTGTGTAGTGCCACCCTGTGGCGTCTTACTCCTGGCGATGACTGACCCGTGACTCGCGTGCACCCATACACGAGAGAAAAGCATGCAAAAGGGCATTTTGTCCGTGTTTACAGTTGACTCGCGATTTCCGCTTGCACCTTTTTTTTGTTCCGCGAAGGTGGCGATCCTGCTGCTGCTCCTCGAGGCGCGGCTACCGACGCTTGCGTCCTCGCCCCGTCCAGCTCCACCGACCCAGCCTCCGACGCCCCCGCCCCCGCATCCGCATCCGGCGCGACTTCACCTGTAAGCATCATCGTTAATAACCCGTTGCGAGAGTGTTCGTTCCCTGACTGAAGCGAAAGAAGTCCCCTCTTACCATGCCCTTCTATAATAACAATGCCTTGTTTTTATAAAATGCCCGTGTCGTGTTTCGCCTCAGCTACCGACCGATCCCGGAGGTGTCGGGCCTGCTCGTGCTTATACGGCTCCCGCCGCGCCTGGTGCTGCAGCTCCGGAAGCTGTCGATGCATCTGCTGAAAGCGCCGCTCCTGGTGCTGCCGGAGAGAAAACCCGCCAGGGTAAGCTGCAGATGTTATCGTGTCTCCACAGGAGTCCAGCTCTTGGGGTTCCTCAGTTAACAACAATGACGTAAATAGGAGATTGGTGACCATCGCGAACTTCTCATTATGTCTTTGTAACGAGTGACATCTAAGCTACTTGATCAAATCAACGACTGTTTGGTCAAATCCGATAATATGGCTATGTAAGACAAGAATCAGCTGGTACAGCCACAGTGCTTCACCACGCTGTTTGGCACCCGTGCACACGTGCATAGTGTCGCGAGCCCCCTCGTGACTCCGGTGCCAGGAAACTCTTGCCCCTGCATCGCCGGATTTGGTACTCGTTAAGGGGAACAAGGGAATCCCTGGCACAGTGCATGTACAACCTCGACATTTGTGTTTACATGTCCGAACAGTGGTCCAGTTGAATGTCAAGTAGTTCACTTTTGTCACAATGAAGCAAGACTTGTAAATATTCCGCTGAGTCAAAAGCGCCGACGTATTTCACCGTGGCCAGTTAGGGGACGTGAAACCCTTGTTCCCTTGATTTCGCAGCAGTGTCGTTGATAAGAGAGCCGTCCGCAAAATTACTTATACGGCCCCTGCCGCGCGTTGTGCTGCCGCCCCTGTTACTGCCGCTTCGAATGCTGCCGGAGGGACCACCCACCAAGGTAAGCAGCAGATTTTATTGTTCACTATAGGGCTAGGATGTTCTGAAGGGTGTCACCTTAAGGTCCAGCTGGTTTTTCAACCTGGGAACTTCCCACGGTTGTTTTCGTTGTGATGCTATTGCACCACGCACAGCTGCTGCTACTGCCTCGGCGGGCGGCTATGTTTGGTACGAGTTGCTCACAATTTCGGCTGACTGGTCGACCCTCTTTCGATAAGAACAAGGCAACAACCACCATCGGTTTTATCGTTGCTCGTTTCTCCTTTTTGCTTTGTTCGGGAACCACTGGTGTTTGTACTTCTGGCACCCGACAAATGAGCTCTGGTCTTGTCGACAGTTCCTGTGTTGGCGACGTTGTTTCGGCAGCGTAGATCGTGACAAGTTGAGGACAACACTTCACAAGTCAAATGGTCTGCTTCTCTCCGATGCAAAACGCAGGTCTTCGGAAAACAACAGCCGCCGCTGCTGCCGCACAGGCCCCAGCCGCTGCTGCTGCCTCTTGCACCGACGGTAAGCTGTGTCTCGCATTCGATTTTTTTTGCGCGCGGTGTCAATTTCTGCGTCTGAAGATGGCAGACCACTCCTTGAAAAACTCCAATTCGCGAAGGTGTTTCACGGGAGGACTGTCGTTTGCGGCTTCGCCCTCAGGACCGTCGTATAACTATCTGCCTCGTGTGCACCCGTGCCCCTCAAGGGTATGTTTCGAGAGTCCCTGGTCTGTGATGTTGTAGTGCAACCATCCTTGACACACTCACACCGCCGGTCACCTATTCCCAATCATCGTCTTGTCTCTTTTCTGTGTCATCTTGCTACTTCCGAAGGTGTTGCTTCTGTCACTAATATCAACTTAAGAAAACCGGAACTATTAAGTTGTAGTGAACAAAAACAGATAAAAACAACTAAGTTGTCTCCTCAAGGGTCCAGCTTTTAGGGTTTTTTAAACCTCGGAATATCCCACTGTTTCCAGGCAACTCGTTTGTTGAAACTTCGGTTGCGAAAGCTTGTCGTCGTTTCTTCGTAGCGTGTTGATGTTGTAGACCTCGTGTAGCCGTGTTGTGATGTCGGCCTTCTTCTTTCTCTTTTTTTTCTTCTTCGTCTTCGAATTTGTAGTGGTGGTTGCCATGGTGAAGGTGAATTGTGAGCAGCGTGGGCTACCAATACACTCAAATGTTTACGTATAAAATTGAAAAATGTGGTCTTTCTTCTAGATCGTTCCGAGTTGGTAAGATTCGCCAAATTGTTCTAGAAAGCTTAAGTTGATAACAATGGCTTCTGTGGGTACCGCCACTGCTGCCGGACGTGCTCCTGCTCCTGCGGCTGCCGCTCGTGCCACGTCCCTTCCTCACGCGCCGCGGGCAGCCGAACGACGTTCTTCCCCCGGCTCCACCTCTGCCGCTCCGGATGCTGCCGCCGCTGAAGGTACGCTAAAGAGTCTTCTGTCCGCAATGCTGTGGACTGTTTTTGTGTACTTTTTGGTGCGATCGCCCCCCCCCGGTGCAGCCCTTTATCCTGTCGCGCCCAAAGCTGCCACCCACTACTCGTTTGCGAATGTTCGACCGAGTTTGTCCGTTTCTGGTAGTTTCCACCATAAATAGTACACTCCACTCTCCCTCGCGCCCGCCCTGCTTGGACAGGTTCGCCTGTCATCGACACTTTTGCCCCGGCCCGTGCCCCCGACGTTCCCGAACGCGCAACGCAAGCGGCTCGTGCTGCCACCTCCGGTACAAACACCTCCTTTGCTATCGGCGGAGAGATTCATCAACTCGACGCCATTCATCAACTTGACGCCATTATCGAACAAGCGCAAGACGAGTACAAGGATCTGACAAAAAGTTTGACCACTGAATGTTTGCCCAACGGTTTGTACGACCCCGAAGAATTTGGTGTGTTCAGGGATGTACAACAATTTGCCGTGTCCCGGAATGTTGTCAAGCGCAAGTTGATTCAGCTACAAAAGATGAAGGTTGAACTCCAGGTACAGCGAAGCGAGATCAACAGCCCTCGTAACACTCCCACCCTTGCCGCTGCGGTGGAAGAGATCGACGACCTTGCGAATAGGATCGCCGAACTTGACGGGAAGGTTGAACATGTGCAAGAGAAAGACGATGAAATCTCTGAATGTCTGAGAATGGGATATGATGACTTGGGTACGGACCCCAAACAATTGTTTGTGTCCCGGGATATTGTCAGACTTGAGTGGATAAAACTTAGCAGTCAAAAGATTCAACTCCAGATGCGGCAACGCGGCACGGACAGCAATCGTGACGCGGCTAAATCTACTTGTGGCGCCACTTTCTGTACTTCCGCCGCCTCGCCCCCCACGCCCACACTCAAAACAGGTGAGCAGAAAGGCCCTTCAGGGCGTCATATTTCTTTTACTTTTCTGGTTGTGTTGCGTAGATTCCCGACCGCAGGATTTTACCACCGCCCTCAATAAAAATGCCTGGCAGTCCAGACAACATATCGGTCCGCTTTTTTCTCCGGTACAACATCCAGGTTCGATGGAAACCCCAGCCGCCGCTGCTGCCGCCACCCAGGCCTCCCCCGACGCTGCTGCCCCACGGGCCCCCGGCATCGCTGACGCTTCGTTCAGAAACGGTGAGCTGTGACCGCTCCGAATTTTGCTCGAGGCGCGCATTCCCTAAGCGGTCCACCAGCACTATGTTGCCTAATGATCGTCTGGTTGGTTGGTTAGAAGGACGGTGGAAAAATATACCCCGATGGACAGAGCGCTCCCTTTTGAAGCTACTGTGTTACGGAGGACTGCAGCTATCAGGACCAAGATCCATACAACCGAATCCCCTCAATTGGCCGTTCAAGCTTTGCAGCTGAGCTATTGCCCGAAGGCATTTTTTTGCACTCATTCGAGTACATGGTATTTCGACGCCTACAATTTACGGTGGTAAACTGTTGTACACGCCGGACACCTCTTTTGTGTGTGAGAAATCACGCAGTGAATAGACAAAAATGTCTGAAAACGCTTTTTCTCCGCCAGCAAAGACGAGCATGAACAGGAAAACCGACCAAGTTCCCTTGCCTGGTACAAGTAGGTGAATGGAACGAGATTTCGTGAGCAATCTTGGGCGTGGTGCATTTCACATTACAACAATGCTGGCGTAGAGAACACTCCTCGTAGCACAAGGGACGCCGAAATAAACCACCTCACACCAAAGAAAGCTACGCTGCATCGTTGTTGAATCCCACCACTCACAGATGCTACAGCCACGGTAGGCGACGAAGAGGACGGTGGTGGTGGTTGTGGTGGTGGCGATCCCGGCGACGCGTCCGGAGCCGCCGCCCCCGCCCCTTCACCTGTTTCGGCTGCATCAGGTGATACAATTCAAATTTTGTAGTTGTTGGTTCATATGAAAACTGGCATCAAAGCTTCGGTCGGCATATTCCGTTCGAAATCTCGCCGTTTACAATTTAACTAAAACGGTGAAATGGTTGTAAATTTTGTCCGGTTACGCTGCTTTTGTCACATATTAAAAACAGGTGCTGGATCAAACACGGATGGACCTGTTCCCGGCCCGGAGGTGCGTGAATTAGTCGGCACTCGCGACGAGGAAATGACTTTCAAGAAAGTCTGGAAATTTCTCCGTTCGCTGGGATGGAAAAACGTCAAAGGAGACAAGCTTCACAACTTTTTCTTTGTATCGCGTGAATTGCTGCAAAAGAGAACGAAGTTGACCGGAAACCAAGCCTTTTCGAAACTTGGAGTTGGGGGGAAGGATTTTTTTTCAAGTGAACATGCGGGTGTCAGTCTTGTACGGGGAAACCCGGTGTTGTACGATCAGTACCTGCGTTTTTCGGAAGGTTGTGATTGAATTGTTGCTTGGTGTAGATAAGGACGTGTTGGATGATTATCACGAGCATCGTTTGCATTGGCGTTCCAGGCGTTGTTGTCGGGACACTCGCCACCGGTCGAAGTGCCTCCCGAGCGTAGTTTATCCAATCAATAAACTGTTTTCGTGCATCAGTTGCGGGTTGTCGCAACGATGCGATCATGATGTGCTCCGCTTCCCTTCTTAACGGAATGCGAAATTCAGGTACCGATTAAACCAAAAAAACTAAGGTTTCAACATACCACACACAACGTTGCGTCCAAACATAAGCAACCCTCGCCGAACAGCCGACTATATCGGGGCACAATTGGAAACGAGTTGGATATCTCAAGAATACTGATCCCCTCTGCTTGTTAACCGTGTTAGAGCTTCAACTATACGTTTGATGCCTTAACTGAAGCGGACGTGAGAATAATAAGGCCTTGACTGAAGCGGTACCCGGGGATCGAACTCACGAGCTCGTGTTACGCGAACACGATTCGTATTCATCAGACCACTGGGGTCATGTCATGATTGATACAGCCGAAAAAAGTTTTATCGTCTTCAAACATTCGAAGGCTTGTGTGGATAAATTTACCACCAGTCGTCATAATCGCGTGTGCAATTTGCTATTATGTACGAATTGGTTACAATTTTGGCTGCCTGGTCGGCCCTTGACCCTCTGGTACAGTGGGCGACATAGCAGGAGAGTGAGAGATGCACTCAATGCTCTCTACGACTCTAAAGCTCTGCATCTTGTTTCTGCGCTGTCACACACCCCGACCACAGGAACTGTGTGCCTGTGCAAGTGATTCCGTCGACGCCGGTGCGTCCACCTCCGCCAAAGGTGAACAAGAGAGACCCGGTAAAAATCGTTTTCGGGGCAGTCGCGTGTTAACAGGTCACGCACTTAACCTAGAAAAACTGCGATATTCTCAACACAAATGATGGTTTACACGACAGAATCCAAAAACTACTCTGATGTAAACTCGCCAAATTTTGCGCGGGAGAGAAATTGTAAGTCTGTATCGGAAAGGATGGCACGGTTACTCCGACCAGACCGTCATCACCCTTCCCTACATACATCACCTTTGCTGGACCCTCCACTCTTTCCGGCGCTAGATTACCCACGACAGACTTCTACAAACAACAAATTATACCATTAGGTCAAAAGGTGAGCACAAACGAAGGCAACATTAGGCAGTCGAGGTACAAATTAGTGATCAACCTTGCGGCAACAGCGGCGGGCAAGGACGGTGAAGAAGAAGAAAAGGCACTGGAGTCTGCGGCGTCACCAGTGGCGACGAGCGGAGAAGAGGTAAGCGAGATGCGAGAAGAGTTTGCCTTAGTTGCTGTAGGAATGATGCTTGTGATTCCGGCTGTTGGTAGACTGGTGGTTTTAAACCTGATGATCGCCGGCGCCCCCACCCGTCCCCTTACCGCTGTGTGATGCAGACTATTGGATCAGACATCAATATCAGCAACGGCGGTGGCGGCGTCATTGGCGTCCGAGGGGGAGGTGACTCGGACCGGAGAGTGCGCGTTATCAGCAGCAGCAACACCAACGCTCCCACCGTGCCGAGAAGGTCGATTCGGGTACCGGGGTACTCCGAGGTCGAGAAACCCTGCCTGGTGAAGTTGCTTGACCTAATCCGAGCGAATGATCAGCGTGTCGATGTGCTAAAGCTCCATCATTATCTACCAGCGGACGTGGGCACGCTTGTCATTGGTAAAGTGTTGGAAGCACTTGAGCACAACAGCAGCTGCCAAGCGCTCTACATTCAAAATATGAGCAATGGATTGCGAGACGAGCAGCTTATTCAGCTCGGCGATGTGCTGAAGGCAGGCCATATCTGGTGCATCAACGTGGGCGAGACATGGCGTGTCCAACCGGAAACTTGGCAAACATTCACCACGGTGCTCGAGCACACCAATGTCACGGTAAGGTGTGTTTTTCCTTTATCTCATTATAGTTTTGCAACAGGCCCACTTTGTCAAAATGCTCTACATTTATGCACATTTGCGTATATTGTCAAAATGCTCTGCATTGATGCACATCTGCGTATCTCGTTTCAACATCTCCATCGTCTTTTCGCTTTGCCGCTCGCAGCACCTATACGCCAGCAAGGAATGCGTCACCGGCAAACTTAAGAAGAGCATGCAGACGGCCATCCGCAACAACAGAGCCAAGCACACACGCCATAGCTCGGCTTCAAATTCCAGCGTGATCCAACGATGCACACACATGTGGTAAGAAATTGATGCGTTCTTGGGGTTGCTTCGGGGGGACGGAAAACTTGTTGGGGGCAATAAAATTTGCACAGATGTGAACGGGTATGGAGTTCGCAGATGCCAAACGAGCTATGTTCGTCGGGACGTCGCCTTTCGAAAGTTTGTATCTTATCGGTCAAACAATACCTGCTCTCAATCGCACCCTCCGATAACAGGTGGAATCCTTCCAATGGATCAAAGGTCCAGCGGGAGTTGAAGGCAGCAAAAAGAAAACGAGCAGCAGAAGTCAGCAAGATGTGCAGCAAAACCAAGTGGTGGCATCTTGAAGAACAAGGCCTCATCACCGGACAAGAGGTGTGTTTCATTATCCTTCGACTTCCTTTGTGTCCCTCTATTTTGCTTTCCATTTTCATGGTATGCAGGCGAATCGGAGGAAGGGAAGAATCGAATCGCCACCGCTTTCGGACAGCACGGACATTTGAAAGTACTCATACGAAGGTTGCAAGGTCGGGACGATTTCCTAATGAGGCAACACATATTGAAAAGAAGCTTACGGACGCTCGCTTTCCTACCATCGTGCTTCTCGCAGGCGATCGAGCAGGACGAAAAGTCGTACGAGCGCTCGCTGAAACGAAGAAGGCGTTTGGAAGATCAGGAGAAGTTATCGTAGCACTGGACGACCCGCGAATTATCCACAACACAAACGTTTCCGGATATGACGCATGTATTTCACTCGAAATTTCAAAATCGGGCGAGCGTTTTTTATCGCCCCTTTTTTGTTCCTACATGTTCGTACCGAAGGCAACTGCAGAATGCAATAGCGTAGGCAAGTACCGTAGACGACACAAGCTAGCGCACTCCGGTGATACCATTTTGGTATGTAATTTTTTTGACCGGGTGAAGAATCTGAAGTAGCCTGGGTAATAAAGTACTGTTTGCAGGGGCCCGTAGGGTGGTGTGTTATTCCGTGTTCCCCATGTAGCAGAGCGCAGCTCACCGGGGCCCCTGAGGGGGGCGGGGGTGATAGCGTGTCCGGACACCCACAACGTGTATTTGGGTAGGGGGTGTGCTAGCACGTCCGAGCAGCCACATCGTGGCTTCGGGGGCTGTTAAATGAAGGTGTGTGATGAAAGAGAGTTTGATACGCATACGCGCAATGTACCGTACATAACACGGGAGCAGGAGTAGGAACGTCTCGCGTACAGCTGTGCGCGGGTCCAAAGGAAATGATCTGCTGTGGCGCCTGCGCTGCTGCAGTCGAAGCAGTGTCGAGCGAGCGGAGTACTTGCGGCTTTAGTCTGCTCTGCACGTTCATGTTGTTGGGGATCTTCATGCGGGGTGTTTTCCCCGCACACAGCTGACGTGGTTGTGTGCGTGATTTCGATGGTTTTGTCAGAAGCTCCCAAAACTATCAACGAAGTGTCGTATTTTGTGTGTGGGGGTGTGTGCATTCTCATGTAGGTGTGGTATCTTGTGTCATATACGGTATCAAATCATGACCCGTCCCCGAGTTTAACCCTCTCGTGACTACATGCATGATAACGGACGATAACTTGATGCACGCTCACTCAGCTGCTCAACCCCACGGTATAACTATCGCAAAAAATGGAGAAAAATCACGAATATATATATATATATTTCCGTACTGAAGATAGAGAGGGGTTATCATGCGTGCTATCGTGCATGAAGTCACAAAAACCCTCTCCCTTGAGCGGACATTGCATACAGCAAACGAACCTCCTTTCACTCCCAACATTCCGGACCGCACACCGCAGTCATAGCAAACATCAGGCACCGGTGCAGTACGTCAGAATCGGCTACGGTGTGCGTTGTCTCTGCTCCCCGGGACCGGGTCGGTCACATGTTGGGGGTGTTGCATGCACACGGACCCCTCACTAATATCAACTTAAGAAAACCGGAACTATTAAGTTGTAGTGAACAAAAACAGATAGAAACAACTAAGTTGTCTCCTCAAGGGTCCAGCTTTTAGGGTTTTTTAAACCTCGGAATATCCCACTGTTTCCAGGCAAGTCGTTTGTTGAAACTTCGGTTGCGAAAGCTTGTCGTCGTTTCTTCGTAGCGTGTTGATGTTGTAGACCTCGTGTAGCCGTGTTGTGATGTCGGCCTTCTTCTTTCTCTTTTTTTTCTTCTTCGTCTTCGAATTTGTAGTGGTGGTTGCCATGGTGAAGGTGAATTGTGAGCAGCGTGGGCTACCAATACACTCAAATATTTACGTATAAAATTGAAAAATGTGGTCTTTCTTCTAGATCGTTTCGAGTTGGTAAGATTCGCCAAATTGTTCTAGAAAGCTTAAGTTGATAACAATGGGACCCCTGGGTACTTTCCGAAGCTGTAGTTTGAAATGTTGAAAAGCGAAACTATACCGCTTGACACCCTCCAACCACCGGGTACTTATGGAAAGTGTTGTGTTCATGTACCATCAAAACGATTCCCCTGCTCTCCATCTCTCTGGCCATGTCCTCCTTCGGAACCGTTCGTCTTCGTCTTCATGCAACCCCCGAAGGTGTTGCTTCCGCTGCGGCGGTTCCTGCTCCTGCTTCTACGTGTGCTGACGATGGCGCCCCGGCCGCTGGCGGACAAAAGGACGAGGGGAATGACACCCGCGGTAAACTGCAGTTTTCCGGATGGCAGCCCGCAGCTGTTAGCCGATGCACCACCGCCGACGACAAGCCGCCCGAAGGCCTTACTGAACAGGAAAGGAACGTCTGGATAAGGAGCTGGAACGCTAAGGAGCGCGCCTTGTACGCCATAGAGCAGGAGGAAGAGGGGGGTAGGCCGCGTGGCGGAGGCGACGGTTCCGCCGCGAAACACCCGAGGCCAAAGGTGTCAGAGGAGGACGACAGGAAGAGCGAAGAAGAGAAAACGGACGATATGGTGAGTGGAAAGGACAGGTGTGGGGCAGCAAGGAACTATAATTCTGAACAATGCATTGGCTGAGTGAAACTCGCGTGAAAAAACGCAGGTTTTGCCAGCAACCACTTCATTACTTCTTGCTCTTGTTTATCTGCGACAGGTCGTGAAAGCTCAAGCCGGATTGTTTCTGGAAGACTTCGACATGGTTCAACGTTTTCTCGTGCAAAAGCTAGGCTGGAAACACATCCGTCCCAACAGAAGAAGGGCAGAGAGTTGGACAAAAGAGGATTGCGTGTACATCTGTAAAGATCGTCTTTGTCTTGCACTCGCACGCGATCGAGAGTTCCTAGATATGTTTGCGAGACATTAGGGAATGTGCGGACTGGTCTCATGCCTTGGTTTTGGAAGTCGGAGGTCTTTTCGCAGGACGCGATACTTCTTGGTCAATTGTTCGTGTCTTGTATCCAGCATTTCGAAGGAGGGGTGCACGTGCACATTTGAACCATCTACGGCGAACACACGTGGCTCGGTGTGGTTCTCGGAGTAAGAACCGATTCACTCTTGAAGGCCCCCGGCGGAAGGGTGTGTGTGGTGTGTGTGTGTGTGTGAATGTGTGTGTGTTTGACGAGCAAGCTTCGTCCTCCATTTTTAAGACACGGCAAACACATCTTCTATTTAGTACGCATTAACTGTTTATTTAGTGAGCGTGTTAAACAGAAAAGATGTCCATTTTTCGCCGTCTCTGTATCCATTCATTTTGTATCGTTGTCACAGGGTAAACTCTGCCACGACGGACGACATCCGCCGTTATGGCATGCTGTTGTGCGATGGCGTGCATTATGAGACGATTTTGTACAATGATCAGGGGTCTTTTTTGCGGGAAACTTCGCCGGAAGCGGTTCGGACTTCATTACGTGAAGAATGTAACCTTCTATAATATTTAGGACCAAGCTCCTTTTTGCTATCCGCATGAGCGATCCCGTGTGGCGGCAAGTCTCGGGGATAAGTGTCTCAACAGTTC